TTTTTTACGGCTCCTGTAATTGTTTAGTGTCTTAAAATGGAGTGATTAATTTTAAAAAGAAATTTTATTCCTCAACTGTGTGCGTTAAATCGTACATCTAATGTAAAATTATTACTATACAATAATGCAGAAATTATAATAATCTGACAAACAGTATTTAAACATTAGTGAAACATTAAATATATTTAATAAGTCGCAGACATATTTTGAAATGTTAATTTAATGGTTGACATGTAAAATAATAATTTATAATATCTAAATGTAATCTCTTCACTTTACGACTTATATCTTTTTATGCCATGTGCCACTAGTGGTGATAGAAGGGATGGTCCACTAGTACTGTGATTTCTTCCAATTAAATTAAATCAATTAAACGTCTAAACATTTAGGAGAGAGTGTCTAATATATAACATTTTTTCTCAACATATTTGTCCCTTTTTTTCATAAACTCTTCTTCTGTTTGGCGTTTGCAAAATGCCACGGCGAGTGAATTTTAAAAGAATTAAAAGTTAAAGGAAGTTCATGTAAATTACGAATGATAATTATAGACTATATAAATGCCTTTTTGTATATTATACCAATGATTTATTGATTGTAAAAAATATAGGAGTCTATTATAACGAGAATTATAATCTAAGTAGTCTGAAAAATACGCAGTAACTTTGTTGTGCACTATCATATAATTCGTGACATTCGTTCCTACAATTGTTTTTGTGTATCATTTTTTTCACTATTAATGCGCCGGACAATCGGTTAAAGTAATTATTATTAAAGCAATTTATAAATGTTAGTATTATGGATCAGGCCAGGCATGATTTTGTATTCGTGTATTTTTATGTGAAAGAGGAAAAAATTTCGTTTTTTTAAATATACACAGCATAATTATATAAATCATTAAATTATAATTATTATTAATTTATTATTATAATAAAAAATATATAATAATCGAAGAACTCTCAATATTCAAAAATTCAAAAGAAAACATAGAGGATAAATAAAAATCAAGCACAGCGGAATGCAAATTAAATCATAAACATATCATATTATTCAAAATTTATATAAATAAACATTTCGGGTTCTCTTCGGACCATCCTCAGTGAATATTTTGACTTCTAATTTGAATTCGAAGAACAATTCGATAAGTCAATTTAATTTGCAGATTGTTCACTGATGATAGCCCAAAACGTTTGAACGTTTATGTAAATTTTGAAAAAAATCGAAAAATAAAAAATTAACGAATAATTATTAAAAATAAAAAATAATTATAATAATAATCATGCATAAAATAATAATAAAAAAAAATCTACAAATATAATCATACGAGTACATGATCGACACACGGTTATACATTACATTTTATCGCGATGTTAATCCTGTTGACTAGGTGTCGACGGCGTTCTTCGTTGCAGCGGTTGATTTGTGACGATGTGATAATTGAAAATAACCTGAAATAATCTCGTGTTGCCCCGTGCGAGGCCCCGTGTGCTTGGTGTATTATGTGTGGTGTAGCCAAGTTATAACTATTTATAAAACCAGCTCGCGACTGGCGTATACTTCCTTTAAGATGGTAGAGCAAATATTACTCGTGGCAAATCGGGCGTATTTCGCTGTTGCGTCTTTCAGAATTAATTGAGATCTCGAACCTGGTCGCCTCCAATGGAGCGGTTCTGTTTATGAGACTTCCTCCTGCTGATACATTAAGCATGGTAAATTTAACGATAAAAAACAATGAAAACATGTGTCTTACAGAAATCACATGTTCCAGTTTTATATTGATTGTTTAAAACTTTTTCCATTTCTTTAAATATATCTTTTGAACTTATCTCTTCTCTTCTGTTTATGTCTTGTATTTAATTTTGTGTTTAATGACATTTCTTTCAGGCTCTTCTAGGAGCGCAATTGGTCATCACCCTTGTAATGGTCAGTGTCATACAAAAGTTGAGTCCACATTTTTCTTTTGCTAGATGGATCTTATGTTCCACAGGGTATGTATCTTCATGTATAATTATAGAAATAATAAATGGTAATGACATGGTAAGATCTATTATCTCTGTTTTTCTGTTTGTACAGATTGACACGATATCTGTATCCAACAGATCAGCAACTCAGAGCATTAGCCGGTGTGCCGAAAGAGAAACCAAAGAGAGGAAAACACAGCGAGAACGGCAAAGTGGGAGATGTGTTTCACGTCCCTAGAAATTTAGATATCAAGCTTGAAAGTGCAAAAATAACTATTCTGGATGTAGTGAACTTAAAATATTATACGGAATATCAGTGGCTATTGGACTTCTCTGTGTATGCTATCATTGTTTATATACTAACAGAGGTTAGTACTCTTTAATTGCTACTCTTTAATTAATGCAAATATTTGTTTATATGAAGAAAAATATTTATCTTTAGTGACAGTTTTAACTAGTATTTATATTCTGTACAATTGATCATGTTTTATAATATTATCTAAAATTTCTCCTTTATCACTCAACAGGTGTACAATTATTTGTATCCAATCAAAGATGAAATTAATCTCAGTATACTTTGGTGTGTGGTGGTTTTGGGCTTTGCATTGTATCCTTTGAATTAAAATTTTTAGCAGAAAATATGTAAAACTTCAGATTTTCTAAGGGATAAAATTCATGTTACATTGCTTCCTTATGTAATTTATAGTAAAGTGCTACTTTCCCTTTGGATACAATATTTCAAGGGCGAAGAGAGTGTTGGTGAAAGGTCCACGTGCATCGTTACTGGATTTGCATATCTTCTTATTGCTATGATGGTACTCATAATTGATGAAAATAAGTTGGAAATTGGGTTGGAAAAAGCATATACGAGTTTCAATCATAGTGCTTCTCGTTTTTTAGATACTCAAGGGCTTTCTTCGACGTAAGTTTAATTAAATACTTGAATAAATAATTTTAAATCTGTTGCATGTTTCATTGGTTATAAGATATTGTTAATGAAAGAATATTTCAGTAATAGATCTTTATCATTCATCAACTTCAAATATTTTTTAAGAATGATTTAATACAGTCTATCTAATATATTAAAGGTTAAATAATAATTATTTCTATTATTGTAAGTAATGTTTTTGTTTTCGTTACAATAACGTTACTAATAATATATTTAATACAGGGGACCAGCCTCAAAAATTGTTCTAAAGTTTTTTCTTGCTATATGGTGCGGTTTATTGGGATCTTTGTTTACCTTCCCGGGATTAAGGGCGTCAAAAATGCATTGGGATACGTTGAGGTAAAATAAACTCAATTAAATTAATTAAAATATTCAATTCTGATTAGTTATATGGAAATAATTGCAGGTATTATAAAGATAATAAGTTATTAGTGCTAATAGCAAATATTAGTTATGCCTCGCCACTTTTGTTGGTAAGCCTATGGATTACACCTATAAGTAGGGATTATTTAACTGTTCGAATATTCAGTGGCATGACTGCTCCGTTGTAAGTTGACGTTGAGAGAAAATAACAAATTAATATCTAAATAAATTGAAAAAAATTGAAAAATTTGTATTACAGAATGACAGTAGCAAGGTTTGAAAGTTTGAGATTGATTATTATTGTTGTTGCCAGTTTATTAAAAATTGTACTCATGCCGATATATCTACAATCTTACTTAAATCTCGCCATTCAGAGATTAGAGATACAAAAGAAAGAAGCTGGCCGAATAACTAATGTTGATTTGCAAAAAAAGGTTTGCGTCATAATATTATGAATTTACATAATTATTTTAACTGAAAACTTTGTTTTTTTGCTAAATAATGAAACAAGTTTCCTTTATTGTTGCAGATTGCAGCTGTATATTATTATCTATGTGTAGTGGCGCTTCAATTTGTTGTTCCCATAATTATATGTTTATTTTTTACGTTTTTGTACAAAACGCTTGGTACGAAAAATGTTGTGAAATATATAATTTATTTACGAAATATATACTTTTATACATATATATTTTTTAATTATATCAGGTGGTTTTACCTGGGAAGGCATCTTAAAAGGAACGTTGGAGGAAGAATGCCCAGCGGATGAATTACCGAAGTCGCTATCATCTACAGTTAATATTGATAATATCGACAAGACTGTTATACAAACTGCTGAAGAAGTTCAACTCGCGCTAGGTTCATTGAAACAAGTAATGTCTTAAGATATTCGTTAAAAAAGATTAAATTTTATCACAGAAGTTGACGCTTTTAAGCAATGTTTTAAACAATGATACAAAGAAAAGGTCTTATTTACAGATATTTACCACAGATGTGTACAGAGGCGTCTTAGGACTAGCGACGTGGTGGAGTTGCTTCGCATTATTATCGACCAGTGCCATGGGCATGTTTTATCAGTCGTACTTCTCGAACATGTGAAATAATTTATTGGGGGAAAAAATTCAGACGTCACATCGCACAAATTTTCATTAATTCAGAGATCAACCATTCATTAATTAGGCGTTGTTCATTGAGATACATATTTTCAGATTATCTATTTTAACGTCTATCGCCAAATAATTAAGATAACGGCTATCGATAAGATTTTTTAATGCATATGGCAATAAGTATTACTACAGTTGTATTGTAAATAAAGACATTCTGGGACTTAAATAAAAACTATAATCGTGTTAAAAACATGATTATAGTATAGTAACGTGTAACGTTATGTGTATTTACGTAATATACAAATAAAATAGAATTAAATTACAATGTTGAATATTGTTGTAATTGTTTGTTATTTTCATCAAATATATTGAAGATTATAATTAAAAATATATTATTAAAAGGATATCTTATATTCGCAATATAAAATAAAAATTCGCTATGATAGAAATGCGATTATCACTACCTATTAGATACTTGAAATTCTATAATCGTTCATCACATCGCAATTAATACTCACCATACGCCCAAACTATTGCTGCATTAAGCATTTCGAAAGTGACTTTCTCCGTTATCAGCGATCTTGATCTTGGAAGAAATTATTTTGTTTGCAGTCTTAATGTAAAAAAAACAATTTTTTTGACGTTAAAAATAGATGATACACTGCGAGAACCTGATCATTCCATGGCTTTCGTCTGTCATATTTTAAGCAAACTGTTACGCGTCCTCTGATTACGATTCATGGATTGTTCGACATTTTATATCCCGGAGAAAGTGTCTCGATGAAATGATGTCGATCGGATGCATCTCACGTTTCGCACCAGCCGTTTCCGTGGTATATAGCTCCCTATGAAGTTTCATCGCGCCGTAATACCATCGTGATTTTTGCCAGCGATAATACTGTTCCTCTTCATTGTACGTTACAAGATAGATCGTGCGATTTTTCATAATGTTGGTGAGTGAGGCAAACAGAACATATATTTTTCGTGTCTTATTTTTTAAGTGTAACGGAACGTTTCGTTGTAAGGTCAAATTTTGAAAATGTGCTCTAAGAATTTAAAAAATTTCACGTGGACACAATAAAACAAAAATGTCCAGGAAAGCTTTCGAAAATACAAACCTTTTAACATATTGATAATGAATTAGAAAAATGAATTATTAAAGTAAAATGTATATGTCTGACTCAAATTCTAAATTTTTGTAAAATTTTATTTTTGAAATATTTTATATAAATATTGATATATGATAATTTTTACAAATAGAGGATAATTATAATATAACATTATTATAACAATGAGATAATTTTTGTAATAGTATTTGATAATTACTTTTAATTGTTATTACAATTATTAAATTATAGGAATAATAATATTTAATTTTTGGTATAATTATCAGCGTATCTTTGTTATAACGTCCTTTTTTAAAGATATTTATTACATAAGTATAGATATCATCTGTCAAAAACTCACTACATTATGCTAATTAAATATCGCATCTGATGTGAAAAATTGCAAATTGCAGAAATACGCGGTTGTCTTAAGTGCGATGTATTGTTTCGTCACGGCCGAGCCACCGATTCAAGCTGGGGTGAAACCGACAAATGTAATAGGCAGTTCAGAGCAACATACCTCCTTTAGTTTCGTCCGACCGGGATTAACGCAAACGTCATTCGCATTCGCTGGACCCAGCTCCCATCAATCGTTCGCCTCCAGCATCGGCAATCCTCAGCTAATTCAAAAGGTTCAACCGAGTATTGCACAAGCCCTCGCCCAAAGAAATCCTGGTTTAGGTTTGTGCTTACAATTAATAAACAATATTTCAAATCCTTTTTTATTACACTAAGTATTTTCTTATCCACATCCAATAATAGCGATATTAATTAATGATTCCTTAGTGAAAAACAAGTCGGAAAGTCTTGATTTTTTTCCTTTATTTCTTTTTTCCGTTTAACAAAGGAAGTATTATTAAATAAAGTCCATGTACATATGGACTTACATAATTATCTCGTCTATATTTTCATACTGTGAACTCACAAAAGCTGAAAAGCATATCATTTAAAGAGAGATTGAGTGAATTCAATTTAATAACATATTTTTCAATCATTGTGCAGGATATTACGCACTCGGTCCCGCTGCGAGCGGAATTCTTCCGAATTTTGTGCCCGGACCGTTGGTGTATCAGGCCCAGACGGATCCCGCGATCGCATTAACGTACGCCCAGCAATTGCAGCAGCCGCAGCAAGCGTACCTGCAAGCGTATCAGCCGAACGCAGCAATTTATCAACCGCAATTGGCGCAACTACTCGCCCTTCGTCAGGCACAATTGGCACAGGCCCAACAAGGACAGCTGCACGCGATTCCATCGGATCAGGTAGGTTCAGAAGACAAAAGTGAAAATTCAGACGATGCATTTATGATACATGAGGCTTTAATTATTTTCGAAAAACGTACGCATATTTTATAGTATATTTTTATATGTGATATTTTTTGACAATACAAGTTCACATTTGCAGACAATCGTATTTTATTTCATCGTCGAATTATCTAAACTGAAATAAAATATAATATATTAATAAATTATAACAAGTCATTTGTTTGAATAGTACTAACTAAATATTTACTAAATATAGATATATTTATTTAGTACGAGAATCATTAATTTGATTTAATAATTTTTTGTTATTAAGTAAATATTTATTTGCTGTAAGTAAATGTTTAGTTGGCACTATTCAATTAAATATTTATTAAAATTTAGTACATTTTTTCTTAGTGTAGTAAGAGATAATAATTCTCATATATGGTGGTTATTAAACGTTTGATTATTAAATATGATTTCTGTTAATAGTAATTGTGCACAGGTGCCTGAAGCTCAGGTCCAGTTGCAGCAGAAACAGCAAACGGAACAACAAAATTTGCTGGGTATCGCTTATTCATCTGCCCCATTGGTCGCGCGCGTGAAGGTCTCTGGAAATGGATACAAGTTCGACTTCTGATCCTGAATATGACAGCAACAGTACAGCGCAAAAACAATTTCTGCTCATACAATTTCTCAAATACGAAACACGCATGCACATTTATTTATTATAAAAAAATTATATAAATAAGTTAACTATATATACGTATTTTTTAGTACTTTGTATATTAAATTATATTAAATATATTTAAAAGTCGTAATTAGAGCTATTTTGTTATATAAATGGTCAGCTACAGTTAAAAATAAAATTTATAAGATGTCTCGTTCAATAAGCTCTTAAATATAGTATTCCAAGTATTCTAGCGCATTATTAGGATATATTAGTCATTATAGATGTATATTGTTATCACGAATGAAAAAAATTAACTTCACAAGGCCCCGGGGGGATTCGAACCCCCGATCTCCTGTTTACTAGACAGGCGCTTTAACCAACTAAGCCACGGCGCCTACGAGTTCTTTTTCGACCTATCAACTCCATAAGTACTTTCAATTGTGACGTTTAAACTTCATAACTGCATTGATTACCTCTTTATTAATCAAAATCACATAGTTCAGATCACAAATTATTTATTCCATTAACTATATAATTTATTTTGATTGATAAATGCATAAGGTCTCTGAAAGATATTAGAAAGATACGAAGAGGATTGCATTATAATTGAAGTCAAATTAAAAATTTCATACAATAATAAACGCGCATAATCTGAACTTAAAAATAACATTGTACTTTCTTTTCTGTGTGTTTATTTATATTTAAAATATCCTTATGCTGGATATATATTTGGCATAAAACGTTTGGGATATTACGTTTCGACTGCATCTTTGAATCAGGAACGAAAGATAATAAAAAAAAGAAATCTCCCCGACGGGGAATCGAACCCCGGTCTCCCGCGTGACAGGCGGGGATACTAACCACTATACTATCGAGGAATTTTTATTTATGATTTTAAAATATATGACATCAATTAAATTACAATAAATAACTGTATAATAATAAGTATACATATTAAACGTTTATGTAACTGTGCAAAACATATAAAAATAATTTAAAATTTTCATTTAATTAACGTCATCGTAATTCATCGTATAATAACGGATATTTTAAATAAATCTAATAAAAATTAAATCATTATTTCGCACTAACAATTATATTAACGAAAAAAAAATAAAATATAATAATAATTCCGCTGGCCTCCATTTTGTAAAAAAAAAAGAAAATTCAGTAGCAAAAATAATGTTCTCCACTATTTACGCAGTCGGTAGGACTCGAACCTACGCTCCCAGAGGGAATCTGATTTCTAGTCAGACGCCTTAACCACTCGGCCACGACTGCTACGCGTACCTACTTGCTGAAAACTCAGATACCTTTTATAGTGTAAATATTTCAACATATCAAGTATTAATTTCATTATTATTATTATATATATATATGAATGTGTGATATACACAGCAATTGACTCGATATTAATCGTATTTTCAGATCCAAAATATTTAATATTATCCAATTCGGTATTCGCGATACGAGTATAAGGATGTGTTTCATTGAACGGCGCCGTTGTAATAAAAAAGATAATAAAAATAGCGATCGCGTAAAAACTCACGGAAGGCGTTGACAAAAATTAACGATTGACCCCGACGTGATTTGAACACGCAACCTTCTGATCTGGAGTCAGACGCGCTACCGTTGCGCCACGGAGTCTTGGCGGAGAGTCGCTGCCGAGTAAGAAATACATTCGTATCTCGATAAATCAGATTACGAATGATCTCATTTCTTATCTTACGTGTCACTGCGTGCCACGAATTTCATATCGAACGACAACAAGAATAATTCTTGTAAACTTCTGGCGTATTCTGACACTAAAGTTTTTAAATAAAGAACAAAGTAATTCCAAATATCGTAGTTCCTGCATTCGAAATACAATTACCTAAAAAAATTCTTTATCTCCTTATTTAAACTATTTATATTATTTTGTTTTTTAATAATATAATATTTATACTGCAAGGAAAATAAAGGATGGCACTTGTGGACATCTTTTAAGCTTCTCTGTATTTACGATGACACGCACGAGAACGTATTTTTACAGACTCGCGTTCGCGTTTCGCATTTGGCCATCCGATCCTCAAACTCGAGGCACTTTGCGGCGTGATCTGCATGCAAAAGAAACATTAAGGGCGAGAGCACAGTCTTGTATAATAAAGCATAACATGTAATAATAAAATAAGAAATGGATCAAAGTTCTTCATTTCCTTCCTTTCCATAAAACAAAGGTTCTAATTAGTTGAGTTTCTTATGCTTTATGCATTATGCATTATACAAAGTGCTGTGCTCCAGTCTTAAACCTATTCTACAATGTACTCTTTGTTTCCTGTTTCTTGTTTGTTATCTTTTGCTTTTTTCTCCTTTGCAACCGTTTTATTAACAATTGTATTTCTTTTTTGCTACGTATTTCTTGTTTCTTTCGAAGTTCGTTTACTTTTATCTCGGGCGATATAAAACAAAAAACCGGATAAGAAGCAAAAAGACAAGATGTAAAAAATAATAAAAGGCAAGAAACAGGAAACAAAAAGTACATTGTAGAACAAGCTTTAAGATACCGTGTCAGGTCGGATCTGTTTGACGCTAAAGCGTGATTTACACGAGGCGACTTTTATTCGCTAGAAGCCGCATCTAGTGATGTCATAGCGAATTCGCTATTAAAAACTTCTTCTAGACGCGGGTTTGTTCTTATAGCGTATAGTCGCGGCGAGTACCGCTTTCGAGTACGCTTGTCGCTATCTTGTCGCTGCTCTTCCAGAGTGAATTTTTAACGTCGTCAGCGTGAAAAGAAAATTTTTTCTGAAACGTCTCGGCCGTTCAGACCATAAGCATCAGAGAATAATCATGTCATCGAATGACGTACTTCGAGCTGCTGTTGTGCTTCGTGACCAACTATTTTAGTCGCTAGCGAATAAAAACCAAGCGTGTACTAGAAGCTTTCATCAGCAAATTCGCGGACGAATTAAGAAGCTTGCTTCAAGCGAATGGCAGCAGAGTCGAGAGAATTCACTAGCGAATTAATGACGTCACTGGACGCGGCTTCCAGCGAATAAAAGTCGTGTAAATCACTCTTTACACCATTAGCTCGACCCGAGCGTCCTGAGTACCCCGAATGTACGGGTTATACGATCGATACGTGGACGTGCGCTGCTCCATGTCCCCCCC